AGTGTTTCCATGTTATACTTTACGTTCAACCCATTCAACTCCTTAGGTCTCTCAGAGAATCTGGAGTATAACAGGAGCACAGAGCAAAGGAAATCAGTTGGGAATTAAATTTGCTGGAGCAATTCTGAAATATCAAGTGTTTTTTCTGTGCCTTGGATAGATGCCAGGTATGCAGCATATGCAAGAAACATTAGCATAGTAATTTGTGCTATAAGAAGAAAGGCCCTTCCTGATTAACTGGAAGCTTCAGGGTTAGGGAAGAGAAAAAGGTGAGGTCAAGACAATGGAAGCAAAAGAACAAGTGCCTGGTAAGGGCACAGTCAACATTTCAAAAGCTGCACGCCTCTGAACACGACCACAGGGACATGAAACTGAGATTGCTCAAGTGTTACATACTTCCCCCACCAGCTGCCTGGGAAGGCGAACACACTGCCTACCTGGAGCGCTTACACAGGCAACATCTGCTGTTTTTTAAAGACAAGAAAAAAGAGTATTTCTGGCAGAAGGAATTAATGATTCCTTAGGTGCCAAAACCTTGAGTCCAGAATGTACCCAGGAAATAAAATAGTACATCCTGGAAGTGTAACAGGATGACCCTCTATCACAAACTTCAGTTTTTATGACTTCTTTACAGGGATGACAAAGAAACGTGCTGATCTCAAGCAACATTTCTTCATGGAACATGAAGGACAGTAGGCAACAGCAGTTCAGATACCACAGTATCCATAAAGCCTACATAGCAGGGGGACAGGAAGCTACAATTGTCTTAACTCCAAATGTCCTTCCAGTTCTGCACTTTGCAAGCTCCCATGTTCTCAAATTTTCTGACCACTCAAGTCCTTTTCTAGGCAGGTGTGTAACTCCCAATCATTCATGCTATGTACTGGAGCCACCATAGCAGGGAAGGTCTTCATATGTAGGAATTCAAAAGATGGGAGTGAGTCTAGTACTTCAAGGCTTTGATTATGGGAAATGATAATAATCTCCTCACATGTGGTGATGTAAGCTGGAACAGCAGTGCTCAGGTTCCTTCCACCTTCAGTATTCACAGGGAAGAAGCAAACAAGGTGAGCAGGAACTAGCATCATGTTTCTGACAGTCTGGGAGGGTTCAGTGCTACACAGCTCAAATTTTGATCAAGCCTGCCTTTACTCTAGTATTAAGAGGCTGATAAAGCTGTAAAAATACTTATAACACGTTTCAACTAGGGGGTGTTTCATTGTCCTGGTTTACTCACCCCATGGACCCTGAAGACAATGTTTCTGTTACAAGGTTTCCCTAAAACCCAGTGAGTGAACCATCACTAGAATACATGGCTCTAATTTCAACTTTCCTCAGAAGATGAGACGAATCTTTGAAGGCCCTCTAGTCTCCTTCCTGGAAGAATACAATGCTAGAATACTAGAACAGGTTTTGAATGGGACTATTCTGGAAATTGAAGGAAAGAAAAAAATCAGTCCTATAGTGGTTATCATTAGGCACATATGTTTTTCAGTAGCTGAGCAGCAGTGCAGGATGAGCAGAAAACTTACTAAAGAAATAATTTCAACAAGTATCAACAGCTGTGATGATTTTCAATGAAGCACAAAGCCTTATTCTAACACATTTTGCTAGCTGGAGAAATTTTTTTTTGAAGAAAATTTGGCACATTCTGTGGCCTGGCAGTATATTCAAGTAGCACTTTGCCCTATATGAAACTCACATGGGACCTTAGGAGGGGGCCCAACATCATCCTAAATGTAGGTATCATTTAATCCAAATCCAAAAATGCTTCTTAAACTCAGCCCTATTAGCAGATTGCTGTCTATGGACACTTTGCTCAAAATCACACCCAGCACTGTTCTAACACTTTGAGGACACTTTGCTAGTCAAAAGCAGGACTTGCATTGAAAAATCTCAAAATAACTTCTTCTCTGTGTAGTTATGTAAGGCTTTTTTTAAAAAAATGATCTTTCAACTCAGGCTTACAGTGATAACAGTACAATAATGGTGTTTCCAACAGGGTGCAGCTCTCCCCAAGAGACACTGGAAGATATTTTGTCAAATTAGTTCCTCAACATCACTAAGTCTGGGAAAAAAGCACAGATCAGTAGTTGGGCCTGTGCCCTTCTATCCTAGTGGAGGTTGGAATAGCATTTCTGCTGATAATAGCCTCAATCAAGCAGTTCTTACTCCAAAGAAAAGTGTTCCTGAGACTCAAGACATGCCTTCAATTACACAATCACGTACTATTCTGGCTTTAAGATCCCCAGAACAGACTGGATGGTGTGTCCTGAATGAAGAAGAATGAAACAGTTTTAAGTCATTTTCTGAAACAGCAGTAGAAAAGAATGCTAGTTCTCTATTGAGTTTTTAAAATGAGGTTAACTTTCTCTGCAGACAAGAGAACACAAAAACACTTAAAATACCCAATAAGTATTACATAATGCTTTTTTAAAACTTTCCCTGTTCGCTCCAGCTTCAATTGGGGTATGAACTAAAGTCAGTGGAAGTCTTTTCGCTGACATCAATGGGGTCTGAATTAGAACCTCATTGCTTGCAAGTCAGCTTGTGTGATAAATTAATTCAGAAAGGGGTTTTAACAGCCTCTTTCACCTAAAAATCTCCTGAGCTGTGTATTAAGAGACAGAGGGCTTTTTTTCCCCTCATTTTGGAGGACATTTTGGAGGACAGCAAAGCACAGTTGTAGCAACAGCCACACTGTGACCTGCAATTTGCAGGTGGAATTTCCAAAAGGCAGAAAATACTGGCATGCAAATGTGTTAATTTTCAGAGTAAAAATTTTATCCAAAACAGAAAAGCACTTCCAGAAAGCTATTCCAGTAACAGCCTAGATTTGGAACCATAAGAATATGAGTGGACACAGTTTGAAGAAACTGTGCAAGGGGACAGAACCAGTTTCAGAGAACAACTGACATACACATAGCTTTACAGACTAATCTATAGTTGAAAAAATGTATCTTAACCTTAGTACTTGCAAACAAACACTTTCAACAGACACACACTCCAGCTTGGTGTAAATGAAGTGATAAGGGTTAGGAATACTGCTGTCATCCTACCACGCACTGTCCCCATCCCCCCATCCCCTGCTCCAGGATCATATGATTAACACAGTTCTGCTGCACAGGGGAACGTTTTATGGACTACTGTACTGCCCCATAATTTCAGCTCTATTTAAGAAGGCTGGAGTGGAGCTGAAGTGCAGCACAATGGCCAGCACCATTTTGGGGTAAGACAGCAGGAGCTGCAGACCACCATCTTTTTGTAAGTTTGTGCTGGCTTTCATGAAGCATATGATGGCATGCCTGTATACGATGTCTCTCTACACAGCAGAAAGAGACTACACCAAACATGCATCCATATATCTATCACTAGCCTGACCTTCATAGTCCAGCATGAGTTTATTCGTCCTCTTACCAAAGTCCAAAATTATATCCTCAACTGCTTGTGCAAGGAATAAATCTCAAAGGATGCTGTCCTGAATTCCTTGAAATGGCAGTTGCCACTGTCTGACTGATCATGACTCATATACCAGTTGACATGTCCGCGACACATAATTCTCAATGCCAAATATGGGTTTATGGAGAAATCTGTCGGGACTGTGGCGATTAACTGACCTAAATGTATAGCTAGTGGGTCTTCATTGTTCTGTATCAATAAAATCGCAACTTCCATAAGCAGGCCTAAAAGAATGATGGTTGGTGACCAGAATTTTGAAGTCCAGCAAACTCTCAAGTAACACTCCAGATGTAGAGGAGGAAAGAACCTGGACAACACTGAAGAAAAGGACGTAGGAATAATGGATGAAAGGATGAATGACTGAAGGGAAAAGGAACAATTCTAAACATTTGGGGAAGCCACTGATGCTTCAGCATATGCACTGCCTTTGACATGACACGAGATGAGATGAGATTATATTCACAGATCATGGCAAAATGAAGGAGCCCTAAAGTTCCTCATCACGATCTACAAGACACCAAGCCTGAAGGAATAATTCAGTTGAGGTATCATGTCTTTCAGATAAAATGCAGCTTACTCAACTAATCAGAGAGCTTTTCCCCAAACACTGAGAAAGGCTTAATCAGGAAAATAATGCCATGTGTTAAGGACATTTTGTTAAAAATACACTGCATGTACTAAAGAACTCTATTTTTTTTTTTCATATGATGTGACATATAACAGGCATTGAACCAAAACACCACAAAAGTATGCAGTTTATGCTATCTCACTGGACTACCAAACAACATTTAACATTGAGAAAGCATTGCAGATATATAGTAGAGGATCTCTAAATATTCCTTTACACTATTGCCACAGTGATTTCTTTTCTTCCACATTACCACATCTGTTAAAAAGCCTTAATAGAGAGCTAATAACACAAGTCATTATAAAACATTTTAACCTCATTTGGAAAATAACTACAAGCTTTTTTGTTACTACTTCTTCCCTGTCTTCTAATCAAGATCTCCAGATTGAGGCCAGTTTTGCCTTTTCTTAGCAGCACAAATTAGAAGCAACTCTATTCAAGTCAATAAAATTACTCCAACATGAAAAAGGAATCAGCCGTCTGCAAAAAAACAGTCTAACAGGTAATTTTCCACTGACAGCTCTTACCATAAAACAGGTTACATAGATTACTCTTTTATCTAACACTAAAAGTAAACAATTAATGCAAAATGTACAATGTCTGTAAAGACAGTGTGTTCACTACTTGTGCCCTTTATATGTAATCATTTTCATTTTAGCAAGCGGACAGTTAAGTAAGACTACCATCAAGCTGTAGATGGAGCCTATTCATCATGCAAAACAGGCAGCTGAACATCTCTATTTATTTATGCATTATTTTACCTTTTGTTCCCACCTTGGAAAGCATGTGGAATCTATGAGACATTTTCATGCACCATTTCTTGCAAGAGAACATCAAGTCACCTTTTATGCCCTCAGGCAAACTTCTCCTACCTGATCTCAATAACTGTCCATACCAAAATTGTTTTTCATACCTTGTGTAAGCAGCTGGAGGTTTCGGACTTCTTCTCTCACCTTCAGCTGAAGGACTTGCTGCAGAATGTGCTGTCTCAGGCTTTCCTGGGCAATGCCCATTCGTTCAAGCTTTTTGTCAGTAAGTCTCAGCAAAGCACGGCCTGGATGCAAAAGGCAAAAAGAAAAATCACCCAAGGCTTTCCATTAATGCAATATTCTCATTCTGACAGGGAAATTTGCTACAGAAAAATTTCTCAACTCTGAAATCCCTCAGTCTGAGAGGTTATCATTTCATCAGTTAGGTACTTCCTTACCCTCAGAGATCTATGTTCTACTCCTCCCTTTTCTTTTGATTTTCTATATCATTTTGGTGCTTTGTGAGGCATTTAGGCATGTAAAATAGGTACCTTGTGCCATTTTAGACAACCAATTGCTGTTCTTAAGTGCCAGCTGGTCTCCCACAGGTAGGATATCCCCTATAAGTCTACAATTGGTCTGAGTGCCCAAACAGACCCTCACCTGTTTTCAAGCATCTACATTACTGCCAAGAAACCACAAGTGAAAGTGAATTTTACCAATGTAATCAATTTAAGATATACTGAGGATGAATATTGTTTATTGCTGCAATTCAGATATGTTTATAATGTAAGAGCACCATTTCTCAGGAGGACCCTGTACTTCGTAGTCCAGCCTTCCAAATCTCTCTCAACAGTAACCTAACACAGCAAAACAGAAAAAAAAGAGCCAGAGGTTTCCCCTCACACTGTCAGTTATATCTAAATCATTCCTCAAAAATATATTCGTCCACCTATAGAAAGACATTTTCCCAATTATAAGGAGTCTATGGTCTTTGCAAGCAATCACTCCCAGTTTGTGACTTATCTTTACCCTTAGGGTAATGTTGAACCATGGTTCCACACAGATTGGAGATATTAAAAAAAAAAAAAATAAAAAAATCAAACAATCCACGCTCCCTAGATTCTGCTAGTGGAATTCCAACTCCATATTTTGAGCATCACTATGCTATAAGTAAACAGAAGGGAGGCAGCACACTGGCTGAGTCAACACTAAGGAAGTATTTGGACCAAAGACAGAACCAAAGCATCAAGCAGAGCTCTAGGAAGAAACCCAAATCTTACTTTATTTGGTCTTCACCACTGCTGTGAGCTAGTATAGGGAGAAGTGCCCTTCAGCCCTCTACTGACCCTTCATTCCCAGTATATACATTTGCTATCCAAAGGTACTCTGGCCAATACCAGCAAATCACACTGGAGCTACACTGATACTACCTTGGAAAATTGTATGTCGTTCACTTTTTTAAACAGACTCAAATTTTTGCCTCCTCAAGTTCTGACAGTAAGCACTTTTTAATTATTAAAAAATCTTGGATTTCTGAGGCTTTATTCTGAAACCAGAAGAAGATAGTGAAGAGCAAGTTCCTCCATCTGCAACACAGCAGCCACTGTGCTACCACCACTGTGGCTTCTGGATGAATGGTACAATTTTGCTCATCATAAAGTGTGACTCAACACAGTCAGATAAGGCCCTTATTCAATCTCTTTCCTTACAAAACAGGAATGAGTACAGATTTTTTATGATTATTTTAATTAAAAAATTTAAGATAAATGCCAAGAATTTAAAGGGGCACACAGTATTTGCCCAAAACCAAGCAGTTAGTGGTATACCCTTCACTAACTGCTAGAATTCACTCAGAAGTGGTTCTGTCAAGCAGGTAGTGGGATCTTGATATGATGCAATGTAAAATACTGGGAAATTACTATTAATGTAATAACTAAATATGGAAATTAGTCTCTGACAGATCAACGCCAGCTGACCAATTTCCCTGGTGATCCAGATAGCTACTATGACTTTAATTTTTATATCTTCTTATCACACTAAAACATCTTAAAGCAATTTATAAAGAAAGTACAGCAGTCCAAGAGTATGGTCTGTAATGTAAATCTAGGAACTGAAAGCAAAAAAAAAAAAAAATAAACAAGTCATCAGTTTAAAGAGTGCCAACATGCATGTCATCTTAGGCCAGGGAGTCAGCAATAGTAATATGAAAGGACAGAGGTCATGCATGTCATCCAGTGCCCTTCACCTCTTTTTGGACATGGATATAGTCATTACTCTTTACTTCCTCTGGGCAACTGTATTTCATATTCAAATCAGTTTCTTATCCCAATCACTGGCTTTGCAAGTTGAGTGTGCACAAAACAGAGACGTCTCTTTTCAACTCCTGGCATGCCAGTTCCTCTGTGGCTTAGGCTCAAAGCACAACGCCATTGGAAAAAATTGTCTTTGACTTATACTATCTGCAGCAGCTTGCACAAGTTGCTTTAAATTAACTCCTTCTTGCACCAAATCCAATGTGACATGTTGAGGCAGTGATGAGACAAGAATGCAAATATCCAGATGTGGCATTTCAAGAATGCAGTAAGTGACCTGAACTAAGAAAATTCAATCCTCCCCATATTTTCTTCCCTCTCAACACTCACAACAGCAACAACCAAGTCAGAATTGGAATAATTTTTTATTCTGATACTAAGTCATGACTTTGAAAGATACCGATAATGCCTGGATCAGTCACCAAAGCCAATTAGTTACTAAGGCCAGAGCCCTGACAATCAGCTCATGATTTCAAATGCTTCACTGTCTTGCTTCCTGTACTGTACGTCTGAAAGAGTTATCGTTTGGTGCTAAGAACTCTGTAAGGGTTATTGAACACTGAAACCAGTTGTCCAGAGAGGTTGTGGAGTCTCTGTCTTTGGAAACGTTCAAAACCTGACTAACAGGGTCCTGAGCAACATGCTGAAGTTGCCCCTGCTTTGAGTAGCAGGTTGGACTAGATGATCACCAAAGGTGCCTTCCAACACCTCTGCGATTCTGTGAAACAACTTGCATGAAGATCTCAAGATAAAGATATATTTTCTTTGAAAAAGGGAAGATTAATAAAGGCAATTAATAAGCATACACAAAAGATGGTCATTTTGGCAAGCATGACATTTAAAGCAGAGAGACAGCTATACAGTAAAAATTGGAGATAGATTTTTAATTTTCAGAGAGTTCTGGATAGAATATATTATCAAGAGCAGAACATGTAATAAATGTAACATTTTCTAAGAGTGTACACTGCTCTTAGCTAGGACACAAGTAAAGGAACTTTACCTACATGTCAGGAAAACTTCTCTACACTACAGAACTGGCACTACCTCTCAGATGTAGAAGCTACATGCATAAGAGACCAGGAGATTTTTTCAAAAACATCTTGACCAATAGAACCATAAAGATCACAGTCACAAACACCTAGGCCTTGGCTCTAGCTAATTGCAAGGCTGGAAACCAAATGCTTTTAAAAAACCCCACAACTCCCACAGTATCTGTATGCAACTTTTAGCACCTAAACCCCAGCCCTCTCATACTCAGGACAGATCAGCCCTGGAATGTTCTGAGACACCCTGAGGGCAGACACAGAATATAAAATACTTTCCAGCTTAATAATGGATTGATGGCCTAATTTTTTCTAATATGTCTTAGCTGCTGCAGCTCTCATTTGATCAAGCTGGGATTAGACGAAAATTTGAACAGAGGGAGAAACACTGCATGCCACAGAACATTAATATAAGCACTGGTCCAAAGAGGCTGGCATTGGCCCTAGAGCAAGGAATGTGGCACCATCTGATGCACCTAATCAGAAATGCCCACACCTCCCTGCACTGGTATAGTCTACTGCTCCTCTCCCCGAGCCTGTGAAGCTGCACCAACTGCCAGTTCACAGACTTCTAGAGAGATACCACGTGAGAAGCTTTGAAAGTACACTTGTAATGGAGGTGAATGAATAGGTAAGAAAGGACTTATTAAACGTGTAGAAAGAACTGAAGAAATACAGGGAAATGAGAGCGGATAATTAGTAAGAGGCTGGTCTCACACAAAACCCTGAAGAAAACTATGACTAATTTAAAGTTGATGAAAACGATAAAGCACTAGTGGGAACAAATGACGTATGTGAGATATGGCCAAGAAAGGTGATCTTGTCTCCTGAGTACAATATGACAGGTATACCTGAATATCAAGACAAGATATTCATTTTACTTACCATGGGACACAGAATCTAGGAAAAAAGGAACAGGGTGGAGAACACAAGGACATTAAAAAATGCCCTTATGCCAGACCAACAGCTCACCCAGCCCTGTATTCAGAGCAGCAGCAGGAGATATATTTCAGGAGAGCTACTGGGAGGGCTACTTTCTGAAGTCATTCCCTTTGTAACATGCCAGCATCCAGTATTGTTATACTAGGGTTATTAGAGAGTACGGCATTTTTAGCACCTCCTTATTGTCCTGATGTCCATAAATTTGTCTTTTTGATCTTCCTGATACTGTCTGCCTCTGCAGCCACCTGGGGAAACAAATTCCAGAAGCTCATTGCCCATTTTTGTCAGTTTTATATTGATTTCTTACTAACTGCTTCAAGTGCTCTCTAGTTCTTGCATTGCAGGATTTGGTTATCAGTTCAACATGCAGCTTGTCTGTTGTTTCCATGATTTGTAAACTTCAGTCATATGCTTTTTGATCGTATTTCTGGATGGATCCAGCTGACAAACCTAGCAAAACAGGAACATGGGATTCACTAAGCCCCTAAATTATACAAGATGAAAACTTTTTCAAGTTTATACTTAAATGCTGCAAACATCATTTTAAATTGTTGTTGACACAACAGGGCATTCTTACTTAATTGATAATAATATGTTTCTCTACTGCTGGGGTAGAACAATTTCAAACATATTGCTTTTATATTTACCTCTTTAGTTCCATAAGCATGTTCATAATTCTAGTTCATTGGCTTTTTCTTCTTGAAATAGTCTGATCGCAACTTTCTTCTTTTTTATATAGGCCGATTGTTGGCTTCTCTTCACTTCAGTGCTTAAAAACAAGCCTCCTAGGACTTATCAAGTAAGAAATCTCCATGACAGAGACATGGACATTAATATCATTGTTCAGGTGCTGGTGAGATACAAGTATAAAATCCTCATCATATACTCAGAAAAGACTTCAAACAATAATAGGCAGAGAGAGAGGCTATGACTTCATAGTAAGGAATGGTGAAATTGTGAGAGGAGGCAAGAACAGCCTCATGATGGCAACGGAGGGAGATGTAC